CTGACGAAGATGCGAGCACCAGTATGCACACGCCTGTTCAACATCATATGAGAGGCCAGAGAAGGTATATTTAATTATTTACTTCTTGAACCTCTCCCGGCAGGACACACACCTCTATGTGGATCAAAAAACACTACAGAATTTCCACTATACTGATGGAATGAGATAACTAGATCCAATTTACTGACGCCCATTAAAATGGTCTGTATTAACACGTAGAAACTTTGGCCAACCCAACATATGATGGAAGTGAGCCACCGTCCCAGTTGGACACGGCAGTTTTCTCTGTATACTGACATCCTTGGATAGAAAGAAATCGTTAGCAACACCACTGGAGATGGAAACATGCTGAACTTATTATTTAGCCACAAACTAATTTCTGTTTGGACTTTCGCAGGTTCCGAATTATCCGGCACCATATCACTAATGCCAACAGTGGTACTTTCCTCTAATAATAATTGGAATAATGTTTACAATGATATGTTTAATCTTGTCTGTGCAGGCGCATAACAGTTGCAGAGGCATGGATAAGTTAATTACTTAAATTGCACGAAATAAGTTGGTAATGAAGTTACACTGCCGCTGATCTGCATGACATAATAATCAAGTCAAGCATCGCACCAACTAATTTTCAAACGTAATGTACTACAGATGTATAAGATTTATCTTCGCACTAGTAAAAATACCGGGTCTATGGTGGATAGACCGAAAATGTTTAGGAGAAAGAAGGTCCAAATCAATGCTTCTGTGTATTTTTTTATGTTTGAGGCTTCGCAATTTCTGCTTGAATTTACATTTAGCTGGTGTGCTTATTCAGACTTATTTATGTATATGTTTCTCAGCAGCGTTATTTTAAGGCTTGCATCAAAAATAAATCTCACTTTGTTTGGGCGAATACCTCACTGCTGACCAGAGAGGAGGGGTAATAAATGTCACATATGAGTATCATTATAAAAGTACATGAGATTACTTCACCTAATAAAGCCAGTGACAGAAGTCCAGAGCCTTCTATTGCAGCTACTTGCAGTTTGTATGCGTGCCGATTGTTTTAAGTTGATAAAAAACTTAGGGAACAGCTTGACAACCAGTTGTATCTTACTTTAAGGCCATCAACGTTGATCTTTCAGGATGTAAGTCGCCGTTCACAAATGGTGGACTAGAAGCTATTGATCGTGATGTGCATTAGCAACTGATCCGCGGATGTCGCGAATGACGAAAGGCATAGGATTTCCCATCCGTTATCTTACAAAGCGATGATCTCATCTGGATTCAACGCAATTATTCTGCTAATTAGGTAGGGTAGAACTGCTGGCTAGATGAATTCTGTTAACTTTTCTACAGTAGCTGTAATTCCTTCTCCTGCCTAATAACTAAATCTAACTGTGTAATCAGCGACAATCTAAGAAATCATGGTGACCTAGTTGCTAACAGAGCAACTTATTAAATGGGTTTTCAGCCATTTGGAATAGACTACCAGTTAATATGCGTGACGCTAAAATACTTACAGTAATAATCTCTTCACTTACCAGCCTTCTCAAAGATGACAATGCTCTCCTCCATATGACTCCCACACTTTTCCTCCCCCACAGAGATACATTGGAAATGTGGGTAACAATAAAATTCATTGATAAATGTTGATGTTATTGGAAGGACATGATGAACACTTCTACATGGGGCATAAATACTATTCTATAATTGTAATATAAAAGCTAGCACAAAAAGGCTAGTTAGTTAGAGTATCAATAGAAACCACTATTTCTAAACATAGTACATATATAAATCAATGCTTGAGGACTCATCGTGCCTCTTTCTGTGCTGCTTTCCTTCGCCTTCTTTTTTCCAACCATTTTAGCTTACATATGACTTTCTGAACGATGATAAATAAAGTAAATATTTGGTGACTTACAAAACAATCCAAACAGATCTGCAAACATTGTTGGTCCCAAGTCCTACAACTGCCTAGCAAAATATCCATTACATGCCTCTGCTACGCATCTCAGTCACTACCTGTACAGCGCCGATAAATCTGGTAATTCAAGAAATAATGAAAATACCCTGAGGGTTGCGATTTTAATCTTACCAGCTAGTGTGGTGATAATTTCCAGCTCCTAAACTCACCACTTTTCGTCTTGTATAGATTAGTTTGCCATTATTATGGTTCCTAACGCGAATGGACCAAAAATTACATGTTGCTAGTGACATAATAATACTTCTTTGTACTTTCACTGGGCACCTAAGATGAATCGCTGGCAGTTAATATTGCTTTATATATTTTCATCAGTAAACCAACTAAGTATGTCTTAAAAGATACATTTGAATTATTAATTATCTTCATGATGTTAATATTACGAATGCAAATACGGTGCTTTCGATGTTGAAGCTTTATTCACTGATGTACCTTTACTTAAAATAGTTGACATTTTGCGTGATTACATTTCCATCCATTTTTCATCCCGTTCCGTATATCTAATTTACGAGATTCATTACTTATGTGTACTATTAATGTTAGATTTACTTTGAAGGCGATTGTATCCGTCAGGTTAATGGTGTTGCTATTGGAAGTCCATTAGGGCCCCTTTTTGCAGATATCTATGTGTCATACAGTGAGAGTTCATCGGATGATTTAGTTGAATGTGTCACTTTTTAGAAGGTATGTAGACAACATTGTAATCATTGGTGATAAGCCTTATTCTGCAACCTCAATTCTAAACTGAATGAATGAAGTTCAGAATAGCATATCACTTGCGTCTGTTGAAGAGTAAAATAATTGTTTATCTTCCCTAGATATATTGCTTAGTCGACGGCTTTATTTTTTTATTTTGATTACAGCTTGATTCCACACCGTATTTACAGTACAAGTATGGAATTTTCAGCTTGGATATCGGTAGCCCAAATTTCGCAGGCCGACCATAGATATCGGGTGTGCGTCGGCAGGGGATCGAACCCCGGACCATGTGCATGGTTGGCGAGAGTCCTAACCACTGTGCCACCAGTAGATGTGCGGCGGACAATCTCAGAAATATGTAAAATACGAAAAAAAGACGAAGTAAAAATGATAGTTGATATGACAATTACGAAGAATGACAAAATATTACAGAATACAGTTGCTTCGGGGTAGGATCACGTCAACCGTCCACACATTTATTAGTGTAATCCAAGGATCAGCACGCAGTGGGTTTCAATGACACTTTATCACTATACGTTTGCCGAATCGGTTGTTGGGTCCTCTTAGGATGACAGTGTGAGTTTCTCACACCTTCCAAGAAATTTAACTGGTAATTACTATGGAAACCAGGCAGCCACAGGGAAAGGAATGACGACGTGTGAGGTAATACATGCACATTTAGCTCCACCTGAAAATGGGTCTTCTCGGAATGTTTGTACGGACGTGCTTAATAAAGATTTGTATGAAACGAGAGATATACTGTTTTGATCAGAAAATATTTCATTTTTTCAACTTTAATAGAAACTGTGTGAAATCATATCTCCACACCCTGCAACCCTCCTTTTTTACACGGATATGTAGATAAAATATATGTCAGCTCCGCTTTCTGCTAGTAGGGATATGCCTCTTAGTGATTACTTCTGCCATATTTGACTGCCGACATTAGTCTTGTGGAGGACCTTCTCTTTGGTCCTTGGAGATATTATGCGATAGACACCATTTAAATATGTCATCAGACCACTTTCCTGAAGTTTTCCACAGGTTAACAAAAGCAGATTAACTTTAAGAAGTAGTTTACTGGTGCCATGTATGAGATTCCGATGATGTATTCCACAAGACAGAAGAAATTTTCAGTCTATTAGTTAAAACTCAAGTTCATTAGTGCTTCGGCATTTTGACTGACAACTTTCACTGGTATATTCAAAGTCACGCTATTTTCAGTATGTATAATACTGAAGATTAGATCCTTATAGGTCGCCTGACATAGGAGATGAAGGATATTGATGACTACGCAAAGTACCCTGTACTCAAGCGCAATTTTTGATCCTCCAACTTCTATGGTACTCGTTCTACTTAGACCAAGGACAAGTTGGAGCACCAAATTGAATGTACAAAGCATGGAATGTATTTCGGGGCCAGCGACTTAGTGCGATGATCACTTAGCCGACTAGGGGCTGTCAACACACCATCAAACATACCGAGATGCCTGACCACGAAGTTTCAGTTTTACAGGTCAGCTTATTAATTTTAGGTCAGCATGGGTGAATAATGCTGTAATCTGAAAATAGTGGGTAATTATCTGCCGCTAGAAACAATGTAAGTGCAGTAAAATTTAGAACAGTGGTTTTTCAGCTTTGCGAGACTAATTTAAGTTGAATATGAAAATGATTACGACGAAAAAGACACCAGAATAACTGAAAGTGGCAAAAGGTAGAGATGTCATGATGCTAAGTAAATGAATAATTAAAACTTTTATAATCATTGTTGTTGCTTAAAATTCACAGTTTGTAAGAGTGCACTAAAACTTTAGCGACAGTGACGCATTAATCATACATGCAGTTTGTTGGCTAGGGGAATGAACTTGGTTTTCACTTTCGATAGGAGCCTTTCACAAAGAATCTGAGATCTTCCACTTTGGCATTACAGCCTCCGCTTAAAGAATACTTCGTAAGCTCACCTGTCAAATGAAAAAGGTCCTTTGAAATAAAGGATGCCCTTGAAGCGTAGCACGAAGGATGTCCATGTTTTCCACCTCAAATAAGTGAATGAAGGTTTATAGCGATTACCAAATGCGATGTGCATTCGACACACACATATGAAATATCTCACTAAATAATTAACTTTCAGACTATGGATTGTGAAACAGTCGTTCAACTCAAAAAATGGTTTGTTACAAGACGCACCTAATACATTTGAAAGTTTCACGTAATCTTCACATCAATTTTTCCAGATGTCACAATAAATGAAACCCCAAGCTTCTGGAATTTTTTGAGATTGTTGCGACCACTACTAAAAGTGAGCTATTGCCAACATTTACAATAAAATTTATGAATTTGTACAAATATAATTTGTTTAAAGTAATGTTGGAACATTAAATGTTTCTGCCAATGTCATACCCAAGGCCAAGTGCTTAAGGCATTGATGATGTCTTTTATTCTGCCCTGTTTCTTAGACGTAATGTTTGGAGATATTTAATGGCCAGGAAAAGCTAGCATTCAACGTCCTTATAGAATTTAAAATGGGAATTTGTTATTGTCTTCACAAACAATCAAAACAAGCACACAACGATAGCGGAACACAGTATTATGTGGGTTCTACACCAACTGGTGTGAACAGTGCGACCAAATACTTAGCACATCAAGTCCCTGAAGTCACAAAAAATGGGAATTCTGTGGATGTTCTTCCCACAAACGTTAATCAGGTGGCGTTATACAATTTCAACACTAAAAATTCAGTCGGTGTCCCTAGAAATGTGAATGATATGCATATGGCTTGTGTTGCTGCTCAGAACAATGCAATTACTTCGGCAATATCTACTGTCCCTACAGGAGGAGCTTCAGTTCAGCCAAGAGCACCTCTGGTTCAAGTCCGTGCACTGTATTCCTACCAGGGGCACAATCAAGATGATCTGCCCTTTCAAAAAGGGGATATAATGTTTGTTGTTTCTGGAATGTCGGATGCATGGTGGTTTGCAAGACATGCAGAAACTGGAATGAGTGGCTATATTCCTAGCAACTATGTTTGCCTTGACGATGGATTGCCCACCAGCTTAGATGCTTGGTATGATATAGGTCGTCGGGAAGCTGACCGTAAACTGTTGCTAGTTGGCAATCCTAAGGGCACATACCTTATTCGTCCCAGCTCAGGTAGGTTACTGTTTTAGTCTCATTCCCATATGTCACTTCTGTTAGTAATTTGTGTAGTGAAACCAAGTCTTCCAAACAGTGAGACCTGTTGAATCTTAAGGTCTATGTCTCTGGAAGTTAATTGCTTTTAACCTCCAAAAATAATGTCCCAAAAACCAGTTAGGTCCCTATTTCACCCATTGTTTCCTATGAATACTAATTAGTATTTCCCATCATATGGGCATTGTTCCACGATTGCTTAAAGAGTTATAGTTTACCTTTCTAAGAAGAGTGTCATCCGTACGCTGTTAATTGAGTTATGTATACATATGCGTCAAATTTTCTTCAGTGACTGTTGCGTTAAATCTTGTAAGAGTGCCGTTGGTAATCCAATTTTTCACTATGCTTTTAACCCGAAAATAAGGACTGACATCAAGTTCACTAGTGGTGGCAGACCTTATTTTCATGCTACACATGACGAAGGTGCGTGCACTTAAATGTAATAGTAGTTGTGTCAAAAAGTTCACTTCATTTTCAATTATATTCTGATGTGATATTTTAGGTTCCGGACTGGTTAATTTAAATAGTGGTTTATTGAGTGGTTGTAATCAATCTTCAGTCTTAACATTTTGCACTGTTTCCTTGAAAATCTTATTATTCCATATTCAATCCATTTCAAAAAGATGTTACTTTCAGCCGTCTTCTAAACCCTTTGTAGACCACATTATAGGGAAGTTCCTTATGTTCCTATGAAATCCTTCATTTAGGAGCTAGCTATTGGAGTCTGGTCGATTGTAAATTACTTGATGTCATTTAATTTGGTGTTAGAACACTGATTAACGCGGACAAGCAACTGACTCAGTTTATATGGAAGCGATGTTATTAAAATTCTTAGTGAATTTTCAAAAATAATGGCCTGTTAAAATTTCTCAATTGACTTCCCTGGCTTTACTGGAATATTATGTCAATAAATCGTTATTTAACTTATGGAGTGTTTGTGGACTGCATGGAATTATAGGTTTCCTCCTCTTAGCATTGTTGAAATGCGACGGAACATCAGGTGAGGTGTGTTAGTATTAAGCTTACATAAACTGGAAAGTAGCTTGCAATGGTTATCTACTCTTCTGAGATATGGCGCATCTGTTGGTGCCAGCACTGTGCTAAGTTTGTGTGTTAAATAAATAAATATCATTTCTAGTGAGAGTAATTTGAAGGAAACGAGTGCTGTCAGGTAAAGTCAGCTCAGCACCTGTATGAGTGCTAGTCTAAGCTTTTTGCGGAAGCTCGGGTTATATATTTGAGTCTCAACATATTACAGCAGTAGCCATAGCTTTTGCGTCACTAAATGCCATCAAAATGACCTCCTATCCAGCATTTATATCACCAAAATAGTATTCGTTTTATTCGTCAGTTTTGCATTGTTCATTATTTTTTACTCATCCGAAATTGTTTAATTTTATCATTTTTATCGAAAACGGCTCTTCGCAAAAATAAATTACGTGGATATTATAGTCCTCTGAGTCGCGAGCGCCAACATGAGTCTTCTGGACACCTTAAATGATATTTGAAAAATGCTTGAGGTGTTCCTCACCTAGATGTGAATCCTCACTCCGGGCGTGATCAGTGGCCCGATTAGCTTATTCCTAACATCGACTTTAATAATGGGTGACTTAGGTTAGAATCAGAGGCAGCGTAATTTACTTGGCAGCTGCAGACACATTGCTGACAAATGCCCATAAGCACGACGCCTAGGTGTACAAATTGCTAATTACCGCCAAGTATCCAAGATCATCACTTCGTTCTTATGGATCATACATAAGAATTCGATTGATGATAAAATCTAGTTAAGATACATAGGGATTGTTTGGATTTTATTTCATTGTCATTCATGTCTTGGGCGAGATATTTTATTGTTCATTAAGAGTAGCATGCATCGTACATCTTTGCACTATCTTTACGTATGTCGTTAAAGGTCATAGAAGATAAAGGATCTGCAAATGCTGCTAGTAATTGACCACTGATATCTTTGTAGCTCTACCCATATTTGGTGGAACTACTATGTGAGCGATGCAGTGGTTAAGTATTGAGTCTTAGGTAAGTTTCAAACTCTCGTCAACTGAATTAGTTGGTACATGTATTACATATTCACTTACTGTATGTGCTATGATACTGAGATATTTATCACATAAAAAAAGACAGTTGACACATAGATTTGGAAATACTGAGCGATTTATCTGAAGAAACTGGCGCGTACTGTTTTATCACGAACTTTAAACTTTCACCTTTTTTATGATATTCGACGTTCTCATTCATTTTCTTGTTTTTGTAGAGACACAAAACTATGCACTTTCTGTTAGACACTACGATTCTGAGAAGAATATGTGGGTCGTAAAACATTATCGTATCCGTATATTAGATAACAATGGTGGCTTTTTCATAAGTATCCGCACAACTTTCCCAAATATACAGGATCTCATCAATTACTACACAGGTAAAACTCTTTGAATTAAATTGTGGCGTTATGCTTTTATAACCACAAAATTGTTTCGTAGGCACATTTGCACAACTCTATTTGTATTGAGGATAGATTTTAAGTAATTACAAAATTTATCATTCATGGAGCTTCACGTAAATTTTCTGGTAAAAAGTTGAATTTCATGATAAGCGAACCATGATTTAGAAGGCACACTCCTCATTTGCAAGATGAGCAAGTTGTAACTACGCATGGAGCTCAAACTGCTGTCATACATCATGAAAGTAACCTGGTCTGACATCTACTTCGGTGCAGATTGCATAACGCTTAGTAAACATGATTAGAAATTCTTGTTCTGTTTTATTCCATTAGATAAAGCAAATTTCGGCACGACTCATCCTTTGTCTTCCGAGTTACATTAATGGAAGGATATCGATATATTTCACAGTTCTTATCTATAACAGTACCACTTGAGGGATCTACACACCACCAATTACCAAATACCATTGAGTCTTGGAGTTCACTTTTAGTTCACCGACAAGTTTTCGAAATGGAAAGTCAGCAGTTCTATGATACACACAGATAAAATACGAAAAATAGTGACTTCTGAAGTGTGGTGATTAGTGATTTTCATATTTCCTTCCCTGTTTTCCTGCTCATACTGGAGTGTACTGCTTAATATTATCAGAACCCCGAGACTATCTGCAGATGACGTATATTATGGTTAACAAAAGTAGTGTTAAACGTCGTAAGCATGTTATAAACAGATATTAGAAACTTAGAACTTGATAATTCTCTTTGGGGTATTTAAGCTTTCCTCACCACAAAAGAATAACCAATGAATATTATCATTCATTGGATAGTATGATATCACTGTTTGCTAGATTTGATATATAATAGCATAAAACGAGTGTACTTGTTTTATGTTAGTAACATTGTCTTAAATACAGATTTGTGCAACTGGCTATCAAGTGCACCTTTTGCGTGATAACACTTGGCTATCCGAAAATTCTGTAGGTCAAACGGTTATAAAGCCTTCTCCTTTTAACTAAAAACGGTAAAGAATACCTTCAAAAAATGAGTAATAATTTCATAAATTAGTCCTTGCGGGATAAAAGTAGAAGTAAGAAAAAACACCATCTCCACTGTGAATTTAAAACATGAGGTCCTATGTTACACTCGAAACGCGAGAATTGAAGAAAAGTATCAAGCATGATAACAAATGAAGATTGCGATGATAAAGTTAACTTTACAGATAGTAAAACTGGTTGTGTTCAAACGTGGTGGTAGGACAGAATTTCGCGGATTAAACTGGTGAGTAATAATAATAATGATAATAATAATAAAGGTTAGTCTTCTTACAGTAACTAGGAAAGTTTTGACCTGTCTCAGGTATCATGTAAAGTAGATTTAAATTAATTAATTGGTTGATAGGTGGTGAATGGTCAGTAACTTTGGCTTTACAACAGAATGCATCAGTTTACAAACAGCGTGATATTTGGAGTGCTTTGTTGTTATCTCTTGCTTTCATTCAGTTGATAAAAAGTTTTCTGTATTTTCTTCTATCATAGTTCATCCTGATGGACTGTGTTGCCGATTGTCTATTCCTTGTCCACGTGCATATCGTCCGCCAGTTCAATTTCGTGATTTCGAAATTAACCGTGATAGTATTACAAGAATACGTAAACTGGGTCAAGGCACATTTGGCGAAGTGTTTCTGGCTAAGTGGAATGGTTCAGTGGAGGTTGCGGTTAAAATGAGACTAGACCATACAGATCGTAGTCGATTTATCGAGGAAGCACGTCTTATGCATGCTTTCCATCATCCTCGTATTGTTCAGCTTTTGGGTGTGTGTACTGAGCCTGAGGATCAACCTGTCTACATCATTACTGAGCTTATGCGTAAAGGTGCACTATATGACTTCCTGCGTACGGAAGAAGGGCACAAATTGACTTTAGATGACCTTATTGATATAATGGCTCAGGTGATTACATTTTTCTTCATATTTTCATCATATATATATGTATATACTTTTGTAATTCCGCCTCACTAGACGTTGTCATAATCAGTGTTATACTTTTTATTAGTATCTTGTGCATCAGACGAGCGAATCATGTAACTACAAAGAATGCGTACTTTAGTTCACCTTAAAGTAATTGTGCATAAAGTGTGCTTTAAATTTTCCCAGAAGGATAGTTAACTCGTGGTATACAACCAGTTGGTCCATTGAGTACTGCACTTGAGTATGAACTATATCAAATGCTTAAGATGTCGTATTGATTACCATAGGTGATGCGCGTGAAAAGGCCTATGAATTCGGAATCCATTGCTTAAAAGTTCAATATCAAAATCAATCAGCTAAATCTCAAATATGATGTAGAATCACATCTTTCATTGTCATACTGTTACTAATCACTGTCACGGATCCTAAATCTTTCTAACATTGGTATAATTTTTGTTGGCTTCAAAAGTGACACGATCGCCGCATAACATCCTATGGAAGCGAACTTTCTTCAGTAGGTGTTACCAATATTCTATCAAGTATGGTATATTGTTAGCAAAATAAAGGTATCTTTCAGCCGTATATATATATGTATATATGCTGACTCTTCATGAGAATTGTTTCTTTGAGAGATGTGTCGTTGGAGTACTCTGGTAACCAACGGTGTGAGGTGAGTTAGTGGAAATGTAGGATTCTCCCCTAGAGGTGAATCAGATAGCAAAATTTACTATTTTGATTTTTTAGTTCTTATCAGGCTACTAATCTATCGTTAATATTTATGAAGCGCAGTCGAACTTTGCTCAACATTGTTATCAGAACATACATACAGCTTAATAACTTTAGCACCAAGAACATTTCTTCATTTATTGTCTGGTCTTCTCAAAGATATTTGTTCTCCTGTCTTTGCATTTTTTTTTTTTGTTTACCGTAGTGTATGCTTTAATGAAGTGTAGCAAATTGAACTGATGCACATCTACGCTAAGTTCTCAGTCGATTTATCTGTCTATTATATGATAATTTTGTCTGGATGAGTTAATGATGCGTCAGTTAAGCTTCTGTCCGGCAAATTGTTTGATTCAAATAAAGGATCTTAAATCGTCAACTTGTATAATCAGCTACTGAATAAATTTTACTGTAGCATGATGTGACCTTGGTAGCAAAAACTGTACTGAATACTTGTTAATTATATTATATCTTATTCCGGTAATGGAAATCCATCCTCATTCAAAGAGCAAGTGACACAAATCGATCCTGTTTCTCCTAGTTTTTAAATCGGCTTTACTCTAATATCGTTAAAAAAAAGGAATAGTAATAAATCACACCACTACACTACTGTGATGAAGATTCCTGGGCAACACCACCAACAGCAACAACAACAATCAGCATAAATGGGAGGAACCTGAAAGAAACAACCTCTTTTACCTACCTTGGAAGCATTGTTTCAACTACAGGTGGAACTGACGAAGAAATCAAAGCAAGAATCGGAAAAGCAAGACAAGCTTTCACTACTCTCAAGTCTGTGTGGAGGTCAACAACACTCAGAATCAAAAATAACATCCGGATTTTCAACTCCAATGTGAAGTCAGTCAGTGCTACTATACGGATCAGAGACTTGCACTGCGCGTCATAAAGAACATCGCAAACAAACTACAGACCTTCATTAACAGTTGTCTTCGCTCAATACTCAAGATCAGATGGCCAGAAAAGATTAGCAACAGGGAGAGATCTCTGGGAGCGAACCAACACAGCAGGAACCGATTGTGAAACAAATAGGCAGGAAGAAATGGAGATGGATTGGCCGTACTCTAAGGAAACCAGCAAGTGACATCACTAGACAAGCCATTGCTCGAGTGGAACCCGAAAGGGAAGTGGCGAGTTGGTCGTCACTGCAAGGGTGACTTGGAGGAGGTCATGTGAAGAGGAGATGAAAACGTGTGGGCAGACATGGAGCCAGGTGAAGACTCTAGCAGAGAACAGAACGCAATGGAGACGCACGGCTGAAGCTCTATGTTCCTCTAGGAATTAAAGGAAACAATAATAATAATAGTACTACACTGTGACAAATTCAACCATCCACAGTCTCCGATAGTTAATTGCAAAGAAATTGCTTTTATGGATGGTAGTTGTGTCGAAACAAGTTGCATTTCGTATCTAATTATATATTGTGTTCATCATAGTTTCTTTTAATTGGGCAATTTATGTATAATACATACTTTACAACGAAAAAAATCGTGCTGTAGGCGAGGTGAAACTCTTATAGAAGTTGTTTGCAGGACTAAACTCAATTGGCTCTAGTTTGCGTTTCATGTTGCGTTTGGCAGGAAAGCGACCGAATTGTGCAGAAATTGAGAATACGCATGCGTTTCACTAATAATTACTAAATCATAATTACACACGTAATCGGTATCGAATCAGATGAAACTGGGTGCATAATGCTTATGCATTGAATTTTAGTGGATATAATGAATCCTGCGTAAAATCAGGAAAAAGGATGTATTTTTTGTAGTGACTTTGTGATGACTCACTTTTTCGACAAAACTAAAGAATTGATATGCGTAACCAATGACCTAATAACATGCTGTTATTGAATTCCGTATAAATTTTCCCCCGCATTCGCTGCTTATAAGAAATGCTTTTTGATTTCATTTTCAAGATTGCAAGTGGTATGTCTTATTTGGAGGAAATGAATTCTGTTCATCGAGATTTACGCGCAGCTAACATCCTTGTTGACCAGGATTATTCAGTGAAAGTATCAGATTTCGGATTAGCAAAAATCATTAGTGATGATTCTCATGCTGATCCAAGTGAGTGAAATTTTATCAGGATTTTAAGTGCCATTTTGTTTAACTGGGAACATTTATTTCTCGATGCGAATTTGAAACAAGTAATAAATATTAATAATACAGGGCTTTACTTTTTTTGAGGTTCTTCAGAATTGTAGGTACACTTTGATCGTGAATAGGCTGAAACACATATAAAGACCTTTCTACTGGTTGGCTTTCAACATCTGTAATCGAGTTTCAGGGCATCACAACATCAATTAGTCATAGTGAACAGACTAAATACCTGATTAGTAGATTATCAGTACACATCTAGAGCTGAGCAACCTATGGTTAGGTAACTGAAAACCAGCCAGTAGTATGTAGTACATGGCGTGCAATAATAGTGACTCAAAGTAAACTGTTCTGCTTTACCACTAAAAAATAATAAGAGTCAAACAAGACTAGAAGCCACAAAATGTTGTATGTACTCATACCAAAAACAGAATGTCCTTCCATGAAGTATGCTTGTTACATCAGTTAATGCTTCTGTGGCTTGTTTTATTTGCCTTGCAAACAATTTTGAACTACCACAAGTGGATAGACTGATTGAAAGTTTTGTTGGTCCGGATGAATATGCAGTCAGATAGTCTCATTGTGTATATAACCAAGCTACTCCGGTATGTACAAGCATGTTCAAGATTCTTATATCAGACTTGTGATACATATGTTCGCATATTTGTGGGTATCTCATTTACAATTATGAATCCGAGCTTTTACTTATATTCCAGCAATATCTGGAAATACTTACAAATTTTCACATGAAGTAATATTTTAATAATTGCGCTAATTATAGAATAATGATCGATCTGTATGTGGAGAATAGTACTAAATGAGACCTTCGAGTAGTGTTTTTTCGTAAAACAAGAATCACTTAATTTCTTATGATGAACACTCCGTAGATGATCAGGAAGATCGGAAAACCAATTACTGGTTTACTGAGTATTGTACTATTCAGTGAACTAATTTTCCTAGTTGTATACAAGTAAATAAAATCAAAAATAATAATAATAATAAACAGATGTCTGTTTTAAAAATTGCAGTTAATCAAAAGTAAGCACGTAGGTCAGCCAATGGTTTTAGACCACCACTTAATGTAAGGCTTTCTGTTTCATACGAGTGAGTTCGCTATCTATTCCCTTCACAATCCTAATTAACTTCATTCCTAAAAGATAAAATTATTCCTGATATCCAAATGCAGACAAAGGCTACTGCGTTTAATACCTCATTCGGCTTCAAGACACTGTTTTAAGGTTAAATAAGGATATAGAATAGATTTCATAGGCCATTTTAGATTAATCATCTGTTTATTCCTCTATCTAACGCTCCTGTTTTTTTACCACTGATAATTAAAGTGTATTTAATCGAAACCATTCATGTGACTAAAACCAACATTCGTCAACCCTGGTGCCGCGTTCCAGTCTGATTACCATTAGCTCTTACATCGCAACTCTGCTTCATCTAACATTGATCGTCAAGAGTAGCAGAGTTCCAGCCGCCTCTGTCGTTAAGAATTCATAATATCATAGTTCAATTTACCTTTATTTAATTTGTCTACTCACAATCTTACGGTTACGTTATCTTATTGCTCCACAAAGGAACAAAACAATCTTCGGTCTAAAAATTGCAGTCTTTTTATCTCTATTCTAAGTGACCGTGTTACATAACCTTAAAGTAAGGCAACCCGGATGCCTACGCAGGTTTATGATCATGCTTGAAAGACACTGTTCAACAGTAAAATTGGCTCTCCCAGATATCATACTTACGAAGCCAGATGTGGATATAAATACCTCCACCGGTGTACTTGCTCTATAAAACTTAAGCAGGGGATATTCTTGATGAACAGTATTTGATATAATTGTCTCACAGTCTACCTGACCACAAGCCTTGATGCAATCACGTGTCTAGTCATAGATGCATCGGTAAAGAAATGTACAGTTTGAGTGAACTATATTACCATACCACTGCTAGGTTGACGTATTCGAAATAGACATTCAGATCAAAGTTCAGTATCTGACTGAGAATGCATATCTTATGGATACACTAGCCACTAGGTTTCACACTAATGCAGTTTTCTTGGATTTGTTTCTTCATAGCTGAGATAAGAAGTCGCATAACTATAAATCTTAGTGTCTTAGGTACCATACTAACCAGTCCTAGGAAGCATAGCTGAAAAGTTGGGGCAAATCCTCTTGTAGCGTTAACACTATAGGTGTCATGTAGTCATTCTTAGTTAAACTGAGGCTTTGAAACAACGAACCTGAAAAAAAATGTGGTAGATTTCATTACAATTATTCCATTGGTATGCAGCATTTTTCATATTTCTTAACAGAGTTTTCCCTAAAAGTGTCTTGCTTTAGAAATGTCTACACTTATGTATTCAATTACAATTAATAAATTGGAAATGCAAATAAGAAAGGAGTGTCTCCAAAACATCATGAAAAATGCCAATATGATATTTATTTTGTGATCCAGCTGACCTTTTGTATCTATTTCATTTGTTAATCTATAACGTCGAAGTTTTTTGTGCTCGTCTATCTGTTTACTAACTTTTTCTGTTTATCATCTCACCAATATACTCCTTTTTTCTATTAAGATACCAAGTTCCCTATTAAATGGACAGCTCCAGAGGCAGCTCTGCAACATATCTTTAGTATCAAATCTGATGTGTGGTCATTCGGGATATTGATGTATGAAATTGTGACCTACGGTGGTACACCGTATCCAGGTGATGAGATTATTTGTTGTTAATTATTTCATATTAAAATTCTACATGATTTTTATCATTATTATTCCTGTTAACTAGTTTCAATTTTATTTTTAAAAACTTGTTTCACTGATAGTTTTTCCTCAAAATAACTTGTAATCCAATTCACTGTGATCACTGTGAGAAATAATACACAGTTCTTCGTTTTAGACGACAGGCGGTAGTATCTTTGTTATCAGTGTATGTAGTTAGATTTGAACAGTGTAGCCATTGGTTGTTGGAAAAATATGATTTGGAGTCTGTTATTGTATTTGATTATCCTTTCCATCGTGTAATGTCTTAACGACTGTGGCCAATATTCGGTTGCTTGACTATTAAAATCGACAGTGTGTATGAAATATATTTTTATTAACCAAAACTATCATAAAATATCTAGAAGAAATAGTTACAGACTAGAAAAGCAACGGCTAGTTGTGGTAAATAATGAATGCGACTGCAATATTTGTTCCAATCTTTTCTTACTATATTAATTCTACTAATTCATATTAGCTGTGGATTCTCAGTGAAACTGTCTCACGAAGTATTCACTTGTTCTGTAACATTACTATTTCATCACATCGATTGTTTGGTTCTGTAATTTGCAATCTCCGTACCCTTATGTCCATTATTATCTGGCTTTCGCACTATAACTCCAAGATCGTTTTTTAATATCGTATTGTTATTATTCGTTCCTTCGCACAAACTATGAAACAACAATTTCACGCGAGTACAACTGCGCTCAATGTAACGGACTACAATAATATTTTTAGCAACGGGATACCTTTTCACTTTATTTTTATATGTAGACTTATTTTTACCAGCTTTACTATTCTTGGTGTCTTCACTTCTGCCTTTGTTTGAAATCTCGACCTATCCGTGCGGTTTGGAGTTGTTAGTAGCCTTCAGAATTCTGATCTCAAGCGTGATACCTAACATGGATATCCTGAAACTGCGAGTCGTGTTCAAGCTTTCCACTTGCAATGTTCTCACACTGATGCAAATCAGGCATCAAATCAAGTCAGGTCATGACATTAAAAAGATTCGCTGTTGATGTTTTTTGTATTTCAAAGATCCGCATTCAAGATCCCAGTCAAGTGCTTCGAATATCTTCTCGATTTGCAAGTTCAGATCGTACACACCATCACCGCCTATTGGAGGACACCAGAAAACCTCAGGTAGAGTGAGGGCATACAACCAACTATCATCACTGTTCCCAACCAACAGTGGGGTTAGGCAGGGTTGCCCGATCTCTCCAATTTTCTTTAACTTTGCCATCGATGAAATTCTGGAGTCAACTCTGAAGGATGTGGGTGAAGGTGGTACAGATCTGCATCCTGGAGATAGACTTTTCGACCTCGTCTTACTGTGCGATAACATGAACTCAATCGCACTTAATCAGTTGGCGATCAGTGTCTGTAAGTATGATATGTGCTTTGCACCATCCAAGTGCGAAGTACTGTTACAAGATTGCCAGTAGCCTGTACCTGGACTTACTCTGGCGGGTGAACCGCCTAAAGTTGTCGATAATTTCGTGTATCTGGGTAATTATGTGAATACTGGCTGATGGGTGACGGATGAGATTTCCAAATGTATCATGAAAGTTAGAGCGGCATACGTCAACTTGAGCCAAATGTGGCGCCGTCGTGACGTTAGCCTGCCTGTCGAATGTTGAGTTTGCTATGCTTCGGTGCGTGCTGCCTTGCTCTACGCCTGTGAAACCAAGTCTCTCCGAGCTGAGGATGTGCACCTACTCTGCGTATTTCGATCTTCGCTGTCTTAACAGGATTGCTTGCATTCGATGGCATCATCGCGTGAGTAATTCTGAGGTTCGGCGGCGTTTGTTTGGACGCAGTGGAGATCATCATTCGTTGAGTGATAGTGTCGTTTAGAAACACCGTTTTCGGTGAATTGGACATGTGCTACAACTATCATTCCAGAGGCTACCGTACTAATCAAAGTTCACTGGCACTGAGACTAGATGGAAAAGTGGAGGGGTGGTCAGCCTATTACGTGTTGGCGTGGCATGAAGAATGATTTGTTTGGTTAGTTTCAGTTTGTAAATCAAGACTCCCTTGCTGAGGTCCGAGGGATACTTGGAATCGGCGGCTTGGAACGTTATTGGGTATAACCAATAATCGGAATCAGTGGCGAACGTTCTGCGATTCTCTTCTTCCCTTTCTGTAGGTAACATAAAGTGATGAATGTTTAGTGGTCTTGACAAATATGCTTGCTTGCTTTCTGGATGAAGTCACTCATTTATTCCTCCCCTAATTTCTAATATATACATATATTACGATTTTTGTGTGGCCATAATGTACGATTTTTGTGCTTTTATTTCGCGTTCGGAGTCGAACATAGGGGTTTCAGCAACACGTCTTCAGTGCTTTCTGTCTAGACATATCATTTTGACAAGATAGTCTTTCTTCTTTCGGTAGTGGCGTGAGCATATCCGCTGAGATCTCTGGTTCCGTTTTCAGTGTTTCTGCTGATGTGTTTTAATTATGATTTTGTTGTTACCATTTCATTGTAAAAACCACTGTCATACCTCATCCTCAACTTTTGTATGGGTATCAAATATCAAGAAACATTACTGGGGGAATTCAAAAAATTTGAGAATTATTTCTTTAGCTTCTAGAATGTTGTGAAGTATCATCTCCCCCTCTTCACACTTTGGTAACACCTGTTGCACTGACGTACAATACAACATGCAGATGATATAAGGTGAATACAAATAAACTAAATCTAACGGTGACTGGTTGTTATAATAAGACTGATGAATATTACAGTTTCGCTTAGTTTCAGTATACATGCATGAATTTCATTCTACTAGTACGACCAAGTTCTTAGCCTACACTTCATGTAATATATTGATAATTTTATCCCTAATATTCAAGCTTTGAAGTTTCAGTAGTGGTGTTTTTACGAGATGGAGGTGCTCACCTCTTGTTCAACCTTCTTTCTGGGCTTGTTATGGCCTGGTAAACTAGGCGGGGTTTAGATGTGCATCTGCTGGGATCGAACCTGGAAGTCTCGTTTGACTGGGGATCAGTGAGCCACCGTCGCACCAGTGTCTGTTAATACCATTTCTTCGTGTAACATGTAAGATTTTTGAGATATCATAGTTTCGATGTGCCGTGAATAATATGCTTTACGCCACTGTCTGTTCTAAAAAGTAACTAGGCCCTAGAGCTGTACCTTGTTGGTTTAGGCTCTTTGACTATCGAGCACTGGTTCGTGTGTTGGGTTCGATCGTCCACCCCACCTACCAAAGTTTGCGCTCCTAGGTGGTATCATCAACGTTCGCACAATAGGTGTGGTTCATTGCTACGGGCATTTAAATGCAAATAATTGTTGAGTACCTTTAGTCTGTGAAATAATAATGACTTAAATTTCTACACTTTTTAACATGACATTTAGTTGCTTTCTGTTTTCTTGAGAAGAGAAAAATTATTATGCATTCATAATAGTAAAACATATTATACATTATTTTGTACGATTTATAAATGTTTTCTTTCCATATCAGATGTTAAGGAGTCAACCGGCAGGAAGCCCTGTTTTTTTTCATTCCTATTCATTGTTTTATTCTGTAGGAATGACTACACGCCAAACAGTCGCTGAAGTGGAGAAAGGCTATCGTTTGCCTTGTCCTCATACACCTGAACATCCTTGCCCCGATGATTTATATAATCTTATGCGGAAGTGTTGGGATGCCAGACCAGAGAACCGTCCTACTTTTCGTTCTCTTTACGATGTGTTCGAGAATTGGTCTACACATACTGAGGCTCAATATCTGGACAACTAGAAGCATGGAATATGTATTTTCAAATGACCAAGAATCTGTATAATCATTCCGAATGATAACTGAAATTTCATGGTGTGCATATTTCCGGTGAAGTAATTTCTCCCGAGATTTATACTCGGTTGTTTCCTATGTACATACCTTATAAACATTTTATAACTAATTATGTAAGATGTATTTCGATTGTGTATGTGTATTCATTAGCAGCTACCTCCACCATGTTCTTCTCTAAAATTTGCTCCTTTAGTTTTGTGTACTGATTTCTGATGTTCCAGTGAACATGAGATAACAATCTTGTTTTGCTTTTTCCTGTAAACGTATTCACTATTCTGGTATCATGTATCATTTTTAAGGTGTACTCTAGGCGTGTCACTTTTTGTTTGAAAATTTGCGCCAATACTTCTCATTGTAAGCTATCCTTATGTTTTCAGTTAGTAAGCTAGCTCGACGTAACTAATGTATGAGTTCATACAGCACTCAGTTTTTCTTTTTCTCTCCGCATTATTTATTACTGTCTTTTCTTTGCTTCCTTATCTCAATCATGGACCGCTGCATTTCCAAGTGATGAAGCTTTTTCACCTCAAAATTGTATCTCACTATTGAGTTGATGATTATTGCCTCGACTTCTATCTGTTAATCAGTCTGTTTATATTTTTATTTATCTCAATGATTGTTGTATCTTTTATTTAAGGCTTTATTAGATTTCATTGTATGCATTATTTCTCCATTAGGAATCGTATTGTTTGCTGCTTACATATAATACTGTGTATCCCGGGTACTACAATAAATAAAATAAAAGATGATATTTTAAAAAAATGGTTACTGTTGCATATGCTTAGTATTGACAAAGGTTTATGCGTAATCTTTTTCAGGTGAGTTCTTTTTTTAATAATAAGAAGCTTTTTAAGTAGTTTAAAAAAATTATTCCTGTACAGTTGAATGCTCTGCTACATAGCTTTTCTAAAATTCTTCGATTAACAATACCTTTTATTCTTCTTTCTATCCTGCTTCAGCTGATCAGAGTGTTATTTTTTCACAAGGTTTATAAATTTCGGGAATGTGTTATGCTTCTTTTTGGCGTTTTTCAGAATTCGATCACTGATTGACCAGTATTTATCATGTGTTTGTTTTTCAAGTGTCATTTTGTATTATTTCCCAATGTATTAATTATTTTATTATTGGCTGGAAAGAGACAACAATACTACTTATACTACTTCTATTTGTTAGTGTTCACAAGGTTTAAATTTCTTCACCATCCCTCCCTCTGACATGCTTGTTTATCGCTTTTTGCTTCTGACTTACTCTCATTTCGATGATTATGTGTAAAAAATTTTACCGGTCAAGCACTCAGCATATGCATATATATATATGTATATATATAACAGTCTCGATTATTAATAATTTAATAATGAAATAAAAATCTACAATTTGTTTAACTGTATTATCATTTGTGTTTGTATATTCATCATAACCGTAGATCAATATCCCACTTCTCTTCCCATGTAGTTTATTCGTTATTACGGTGATATATATAATATATATATATATATTGCCGATAACTGATGTTGAAGGCGTTTTCATTTCCAGGGCAAATGTGATGAACTGTGAATAATTAATCGTAGGATTGTTGATATAATTCGATCGATGTTAAATTTTGTATTCTTCTTACAAGATGATGTATGTTTTATGCACAGAATTATTCAGGTACCTGTTAGGGTATGTGGAAAACGTGTTGTTTGTTGCCAGTAAATTGTGTGAATTAAGAAGAGAAGGTGTTTTGTTCAGTTATTGCGACTTTCGTGTCCTCGGATGCATAGATAACTTCTTTTTGTCTCTGATATACCTCTTTATATAACAGACGCTATGCTTAACTTATATTAGCTTGTTGATCTGTGAAGCTCCTCCTGCAGTGTAGTAGTAGTAGCTAGGGAATATTCGTCTTCTGCGCACAATTAACTGTGATTAATGGTGTTTTCTACTGTTATTTGACAGTGTAAGCGTTGGTGACCATTATGGTGCAAAAGATTACCAAGGATTCTATCAGAGTAGAGTCGTAATTAACACCGTTTAAAATATGTGTGATAGTAGTGCATCTAGGTTCTTGTATCTTTCTTTTCTTGGTTTACGAAATTTATTTAATTTCATCTAGGCAATGTATGTTTGAGTGTTTCAAATTTCTTATTATTTTGTTGTCTATTCTCACTGATCCAGATAAAGTAGATGGAATTGCAACTAATGGTATTTTATATGCTGGTCAAAAACAAGTTGTATCTCAGATCTCACGAACTCACATAATATAATGTGTGTTGCATGTCTCTGTAACCACTGATTAATCTGTGTTCCGACGAGAAGAATGATGAGTCTTGTGAGCTCTAAGTATAACTATAAGAATGACCCCCATAAAAGCTGCCTCCAGCATCCCTACTTATATGAAGACCTTTTTATTGCCTAATTTGGTAACTGTTCACCTGTGAGCAGTTATTACTGCCCACAATACAATTGGAAATGTTGATTTGATGCCTGTATCATCATTGAAATTGTGAACATTTTAGTTTCGTAGGAAAAAAGAAATCCAGGGCAGATGAGTAAGTTTCTTTTACTTTATTCAGATTGACTACATCGAGTTTATATTTGTGGATATGAAGTGGCTTACAAGACGGTTTGGCTTGACATTCTATTTGTTATGGCGTGGGAAATATAGGAGCTGCAACTGATCGGTTCATTTAGAGTCATTATGAGTATTCGCCTGGAAGTAATGAATTGCATTGGATTAGTTATTGGTCATCCAAGGTGTTTTAGAGCTGAGATTGCTCTTGCACACGGCATAGGTTAATGACCTGAATATCTTGTTACAGAAATTTTTATGAATAGTGATGGCAAATTATTTGTATATCACTTTGTATTTGTATATCACTGTGAGTTTTGATCATTTTGATACCTGAGGGAGGAATGATCAATTGTTATGTGATAATGGTGAACTACTACTCACGCCACCTGCCGTAATTTCTGAGGTCCTGGATTTTGTAATTATTCGAAATTTCGATTGATCTCTCGCAGAAGAGATTTTCCGGAATCAGGATGACTTAAGCGTACTGACCACCTTGTTTGTCACACTATGCAATGCACATGTTGTTTCTCACTCTTTCATAAGCGTGAATATAATTCCATTATGGGTGAAATTTGTTTCGATAAAGTCTCACAGTGTTATACAGTGATGTTTACTGATGACGTTTCGAGCGCAATTTAGTACTCATCATCATATCAAGGTACTCACACAACTTTCTAACTTCGTTTATATAATTCCATTATTTTCTATCGCTTGATTTGATTGGTAGTAGTATTTTCCATATTTCCGGTATGAGTGATGAGTCATTCCTATTGCATGTGTTGGGTGTAGACTCGATGAACAAGGATTGAGTAATCAAGCTCTCTGCCTCCACCTACCTAGATTACTTTTTAGAATTTTAAGCCTCTCCCACCCTATTGTGTGGTTGTGTGTTCATGCATGCAGTGCAATGTAGTGCTGAGCTTTTTTCTAAATTACTTATCTTCTCGAGGTCAACCATTCTTACCTTAGCTAAATTATTATGTTCTGACAATCTGACTACCCCCGACCTACTAGTTTGACCTATGTAGTTGACTTAAATCACAGTCATTGCAGGGTATTTTGTAAATTATATTATGTTGTCTAATTGGGTCAACAGGGTGCTTTAACCTACAGAGCTTGTCCCTGAGTGAGTTTGTAGGTTTAAATGCCAACCTGATTCCTGCTTCATTGAAAATCCTACATAGGGTCTCAGATGTCTCCTCCTCATATGGTATAACAGTAGATGCCTTGTATTCTCTCTTATTCATGTTGTCGTTACTAGTTTCACAACTATTTTTATTTTGCTTTTGGCCTTTTCCAATCTTGCTAATGAATTTTATAGGATAGTTATTTGATACCAACGCTTCTTCTATCTGTTTTATTTCATCATTTAGGTCTTTTCTTGTACTACTTAGTGCTACTGCTCGGTTTGTTAGACACTTAACTAAGCCAGCCTTAACAGTTAACGGATGAGATGAATTAAAGTCAAAATATCTATTAGGAATGCGTTGGCTTTTTATAAACGCTAGTGTGCAGTTTACCTTCTTCTATTCGTTTTATTTTACAATCTAACATAGTTAATTCTCCTTGTTCATTTTCCGATTCAAATGTGAATATTATTCCGTCTACTGGTGAGTTTATATGTGTGAAGAAAGCAGAGATATGTTCTGTTTTTTATACTCTACTACAGGGCCAAAGTTCTCTTGTTAGATCATCAATGATTCATAACATCGATTTGCTACACGGATTTAATTAAGTAAAGCCAAAATGACGCATTCCACATCAAACGATGAATATTTTGAGTTTTGTATGATTCTTTAAAATTGCATGCAGGCCAAAAGGCACTGTTACTGTTCACATATCAGGAATATTGAAAAGTATTCATGGAAATCAACGAAAAGGGAACCTCTATGGTAATTGTGACATTAGAAACTAAATGCATTGATCATTTTTGCTTATGAGGGCACGTTGATTGAATAGATAGAGAAAGACTGTTATTCAGTCTTGCATAAAGAGTTCTCTTGATATATATGCCTCACATTATTTCAATACTCCCTTCGAAAGAATTATCAAGACACCTATTCTACTAGGAAAATTCTTCTCAGGTTTTTCATTTCTTTTTCCACACAATTCTTTGACTATATGACTCTTATCTTTAAATAATGTGAGAGAAAAATACCACCATTATGTTCTTTCCTGTAGGTGGATTTTGCAATGTGAGATGAGTTCCAATGAATACTTACAAATGGTTTTCATCCTGAAGCTTATCACAAACGATAATTTGACCCACCTGTTTACGAATTAACCATTACTGAATGACTAACAATTGGCATATCGTCAAAAACTACAGTATACTGGCATCAAATGAATACCATGCAATATGGAATAGTATTTTCTCAAGGTGTGATGATGTCATTTTGCATTGTTGAGGACTAGTCGGTAAACTTAAATAACTCTACCCCCATCTTGTCTAATTATTCTATAAATAGTTATTCACATTTGACACTGAATGATTTGTCTACTTACATCATTTTTTAGAATTATGTTGCTCATACTCTCTATCTATAGTTCGAAGTCAGTATGAAAAGCATGTTCAAACATTTTGTAACTTACAATTTAATTTTGTATAGGGTGTACACAGTTGACGAGAAACCAGGATATAGGACGAGCTCGAATTATAGCCTCTGCAGAATATTGTCTTCTTCATACTCTGTTAACCTTTATATAAATATGTATGGCAAGTACATATGTGATGAGAATGTTCAAAGCGGGTGGTGTAAATAAATTACATATTTCAGATAGATAAACTACCTCTTCTTATTGAATTTGATTCCAGTTCCCATTTAAACTACCTGAATTACATGCTGTCTAGTTTATTGATTAACTTTAACAATTCATTTGCGTATTTCTTCGTCTGTATGTAGTATTTAGTAGTTTGAACACATCGTATTTGATAACTGTGAGCAGTGATCACAATTCCTTTTAATAATGTGTTTAATTGTCAAAGGACCATCGATTAGCTAGCTGGTAAGGCAGAGTGAAGCTCACAATTTAAAATTAGAACTAAAAGCACTGAATTTTATCGAGATTATCAGTTAATTGGAAAGTGATCTTGTGGAATATGGACGGAGGTATGAGATGGGGAAATTTTCCAGTATACCTCGAAAATACTGCAGACAAAAGTGGTTCTAATGAGGATACATACATGCCTTACAAGACGACTGGAGGAAAGTACTGAAGTTACGACGAAAGAAAGAGAAGAAAATCTGCACTGTAACATATCCACTCCCTGTTAGTCATCTCGATGTAATTCAGAAGGGGCCAGACCAACATCCGCAAACATTACAGGATGAAACCTACACAACTGAAGATAGTCCAAGAGAATCTATTTTGAAATGGTTGCAGAACTTGCATCTAGAAGAGAGGAACAATTCCAATGATGAAAGAGGGCTGAATAATCCATCTGATAAGAAAGATGAAAATAAATTGGAAAATTCTAATGGTGATGA